CATGCAGTCCCTTCTTCAAACCATACAGTTGACTGCTTGATGCCGCACCCCAATTCTTCGCTTTGCGTGCCCTCCCCAGCAGCTTTCACTTCCCACTCCAGCCGAGTTGAGACGCCATCCGAGTCGACTCGCTTGCCAAGGCAAACCCATTCGCACGAAGTCCGAAGCTGCGTGAGTCACGGTTTCCGTTCCGCCCTCGATTCCCGTGCCGCGGCTGCCCGTCACATGTTTAGGAACATTGAAGCCCCGTAAGTTTTTCGACAAAACTTCTATGTACTCCGAGCCGTGAGACCCGAACGTACAATTTCGCCGCATACTCAAGCCTCAAGCCGTGCCCCGTAGCAAATCGACGTCCTCAAGGCGCATGCAAATTTCATAAGCTCCCAAACTTTGCTCTCAAACTTTGCGCTTCTAGCCACCAAACATTTACCCTCGAAGTGTGAGCAACCAACAATAACATATCGGCCCTTGATATTCTCATCACCATCCGTTCGAATCTGACCGCGGGAGTTACATCCACACCACCTCAAAAAAAAAAAAAAAAAAAAAAAGAAAAAACATATGGAAATTCAACCAACTCACCACGAGACTTGGAAATTCAACCTATGCAAGATCTATGCAGCCAACTATTCGACTACTTTGAAACTCCAACAAAAAGAAAAAATTACGTATTCAAGCGACTATTTCCTAGTTACTCCCAGGCAGGTCCACGAGGCCGTGGCCCAACCTGGGAGTGGGGGGTTTAATGATGTGTATAATTGGAGTTAGGCCCAAGATGCTCAAATTGGCCCATTTAGAGGAAAAATCCAATTAACACTCTTAATTACATTCAACTTGTCACACATTGATTTTTAACAAGAAAACCACATTAAACTCCACCTATAAATATGTGTTATCATTCACATAATAGGGTAAGCACTATTTAGGCAATTAATTAATGGGGGGTGCTAAATCCTACACTAAAAGTTACTAAATCCCGCACATAAATAAAAAATATTCTCTCTCTACCAAAAATATTCTCTCTCTACAAAATATTTTCTCTGACTTCTCTCTAACTTTTTCTAGGGTTTTCCACACAAAAAGTTACTAAATCCCGCACATAAAAAAAAATATTGTCTCTATACAAAAAAAATATTTTCTCTCTACGCTCTATTTTTTCGACTTCTCTCCAACTTTTTTGTAGGGTTTTCAAAATACTAAGAAGTCGTCAAAAGTCATTTTTGTTACGTAATAATCATCAACTAATGAGTTCAATACTTTCTAACGACAATCCATTTCAACCGAATGTAAGATTTTAATTTTTTTTGCCAAAAAAATCATCATACGCAGATGGCAGACAACTTGGAAGACGAAACAGATAGCGCGCACATGTTGGGCGCGCAGTACACTGTATTCGCGTCCAAGGTGGGCGCCGTCTTTGATGCTTCCGCTTCTACTTTAGATGCGATCCGGTGTTGTGTTTTTTTTTTTTTTTTTTTTTTTTATATATGTATATATTTTTTTTATATTTTTTTTTCAGGATAATGGGGAAGTTGATTATTCTGAATATTTTCGAGTAGTACAATTGTTTAATTGTAGAGCCAATTTAATACAGTGGGCGAGAGACACATTTGAAAGCCATGGCATTAAGCTAAGTATAGGTCATACTTTTTGTGATAGAGTATACGTCACTCTGATCGGTTTGGGAAAAAGCATGTGAAACGAAAGAATAGATGTGTAGAAAGTACAAAATGTACTGGCACAGAAAAATATGTAATTGTGGTTTCCAGGTGACGGGGGCTCTACAAGCAGAGGATAAATGGGAACTCTCTATAGTTTACGGGAAGCATAATCATCCTCCGGCTTCGAAACATGGTATTTATAAACAACTCTCGCAGAAGCAGTATGAAGTTACCGAGATGTTGACGAGAAGTCACGTGAAGCCTAAGAAGATTTTAAACCATCTTCGACATGAAGATCCAAATATTACCACTTCGTTGAAATACATTTCTAATGCAAGACTCAAAATCAAAATTAAATTGATGGGCGGAAAGACAGTTATTCAACATTTGATGCAGTGTATTGATGAGAGCAAGTATATAGAGCGACACCGCGCCGATTCAATGACGAATGAGGTTATTGACTTTGTGTTTGTTGATCCTCGAATTCCTGATATGCTCATCGACGAGGCATCTGTAAAAAAAAAAAAAAAAAAAAAACTACGAAACATATTTATTAAACATTTAAAAAAAACATTTAACATAAATTAAGCATTTATTAAAAATTTGAAAGTTATTTAGTATTTGTTAAACAAGTTTAAATATTTATTCAATATTTTTTTAATTATTAAATATTTATTAAACATGTATTCAATACTAATTATTTAATTCTAAAATATTTATTCGGTATTTATAAAGTATTAAAATTTTATTAATCATTAAATATTCATTAACAATTTAATAAATAATTAAATTAATATGAATTAAAAAAAAAAAAAAAAAAAAAGAACGCATCAGCCCTTGGCTTCCAACCCAGCCGCGCCCCCCCCAAAACCCCACACCTGCCATGACGTGAATTTCATGGCAGGCACCCCACCCCCTCCCCACCTCCCCCCTCCAAAAACCCCACACTTGCCATGGACTCGAATTTCATGGCAGGCCATGAACGTGAATTTCATGATAAATAATAAAATTGAATTGAATTTAAAAAGAAAAAAAAGAGAGAGAAGAGAGAAGAAAACTTTATTGTACCGTTAATTAGTAGAATTAATTTGAGATAGAATGATTACTTTGATTGTAGAATAAATTTGAGAAAATTTTCTTCAAGTTCGAATCTCGAATTATAGTATTGTTTTTATGATGTTTTTGTGCAAGCGTGAGGGGAAAAGAACTTGTTTGGGGAGGAGAAAAAGACCGACGTTTGAGATTTTAGAGAGAGAATTTTTTTTTATTATGTGCAGGATCTAGTAATTTCCATGTGGGATTTAGCATTTCAGTTAATTAATATTATTTGCTTATATTGTGATAGTTTTCTGACTTGAGCGTCGGAGGACAATCGTCAGGCCACCCCCGGCGTGTCACCTAGTGTTTTCAACTGTTTTGTAGGTTAACGAGTGGAGCGATCCATTCGACTACCTCGGACACGAGACTTGTGGGCTTCAAGACCATTGGGCTGACCCAACATTTTGGAGCAGCATCAGATACTTTCCCTTCGACTACCTCGGACACGAGACTTGTGGGCTTCAAGACCATTGGGCTGACCCAACATTTTGGAGCAACATTAGATACTTTTGTTGACGTGGGCTTCAAGACCATTGGGCTGACCCAACATTTTGGAGCAGCATCAGATACTTTTGTTGACCCAACATTTTGGAGCAGCATCAGATACTTTCCCTTCGACTACCTCGGACACGAGAGTTGTGGGCTTCAAGACCATTGGGCTGACCCAACATTTTGGAGCAGCATCAGATATTTTTGTTGACGTGGGCTTCAAGACCATTGGGCTGAACCAACATTTTGGAGCAACATTAGATACTTTTGTTGACGCTTAATTAATACCGGTCACGCGCGTGGCAAATGGAGCTTCTTGTGTGCTTGTCATGATATTCATCATCTATAGGGGCATGGAGTAGATTTTTGAGAATTCAGAGGTCTTTTTGATAGTTCTCAAAAATTGAAGTGCTCCCTTGTTATTTCCAAATGACCCAAAGTACACAATTTGCCTTTTTTATAAATGATTTTGTGGAAGTAAGATCACATTTTCAGAAATTCGAGGGACTTAATCTTGATTTGTTATATCAATTTTTTTGAAAACTCAAATGCTAATTACAGCGAGAGTTTTACTAGCCGCAGTGGGATTTTGGTCATTATCTCAATACCTTCATAAAAATTAAATTCTCTCTACTTTCAATTTCTGAAATTTTGAGACTTTGAAACTCGTTTCGTAAATATTTTTTACGAACAACAACAATTGCAATGGCCGATTCAGATTGCGATTATGAGGTAAAAATAAGTTGTTCTATATTTTTCTGCAAAATTTCACTATTTCGTGTTCATCAACACGAAACCCAAAAAAATAAAAGATAACTAAGTGTTTCGTGCTCTACAACACGAAACTGTGTTTCGTTCTTTGGAGCGCGAAACCCGTGTTCAAGTTTCGTGCTACGGAACACAAAACCTTAAATTTATTTTGTTTCACTTGTCTAAGAACAACAAGATGAAGAAAATGATGACAACTTGTATTATGATGTTTCTTTGGACAAGTTTAAATTTGAGGATTACAGTCATTTTTTTTTGCTGTGGATATTGCGTTTGAAGGTAGGGAAACATTAATTGAATGGACCAAAACCTCCGCTAGTCAAAGTCATCGGTTGGTATGTGCTTCAAGCAACAAAAACACTTATCATGTATTGACATGTCATATGTTTGGAACTGGATGACAAACGAACTGAAATGTTGGGACACAAAAATGTGGATGTCTGTTCCGGTTACGGTTATACAGTAGTAGGAAACACAATCATCGGCCAACACCATACTCTACTGAACAGGGTTCGAGTAGTCGTTTGACAGCACAAGAGTATGAAGTAGTAAAATTACTGAGAAAAGTCACGTGAAGCAGTCATTAATTATGGATCGTTTGACAAATGGTAATGTGGAGACAAAGACGTCGGTAACATGTCTACATGAGAAGATGAAAAAATTTGGGGGCAGGGTAAACTGCCCGTGTCAACCTTCAAGGGAGTCATCTGCAAAAAAATATTTTGAAGTTGGACACAGTCTGTTAAGTTTGACGGAAAAACTAACGGAAGCTATCCTTAAACAACAATGGGGTTATGTGCTGATATTATGTGTACAAGGGGGTCATCTGGAAAAACTTGTAGCCTTAGGGGGTTATGTGCAATTTACCCTTTCTTTTATTTTCTTTTTTAATTTTAATATATTTTATTTTTAAATTTTACAAGACTACGTGTAATTCTTTGTTTGCTACTTGAGAGGCGTTGAGCAGAGAATAGAGCTCACACGCAGTGAAGAATGAAGATAAGGTTTTTTGTACTACGCAAACAAATTCTTCTTACATGACGAAATACTGATAATTTCCCCAAACCCCCCTCTCTCTCTTTCTTTCTCTCTCTACATTTCCATGGCGGCAGCCGCTAATCTCTCTCTAGCACCCTATCACCACCACCACCACCACCACCACTCAGACACCAACCACCACCTCCCACTCCACTTCACCACCCTCCTCCTCCTCCCCACCAAAAAAAGATTCACCATCTCCTGCAATTCAGCCAAGCGCGCCGCCGCACCGCCGCCGCCGCCGCCACCTTCCGCCGTCGCCCAAGACCCAAAAACCCCATCTCTAGCCGAGCAGCTGAAACCCTTATCCACCACCACCCTCTCCGACCAACCCAACGAAACCCACCTCCTATCCAAACCCAAATCCACATGGGTCAACCCGACAAAGCCCAAACCCTCCGTCCTCTCCCTCCAGCGCCACCAGCGCTCCGCCTCCTACTCCTACAACCCCCAAATCAAAGACCTCCGCCAATTCGCCAAGAAACTCAACGAGTGCACCGAGTCCGATTTCTCCGCCGTCATTCAGACAATTCCTCATTCACCTTCCAGGGAGAACGCCCTTTTGGTTCTCAACAACCTCCGGCCATGGCAGAAAGCCCTCCTCTTCTTCAATTGGCTGAAATCACAAGACGTGTTCCCCATGGAAACCATCTTCTACAATGTCGCCATGAAATCCCTGAGATTCGGCCGACAATTCCAGCACATTGAAGAACTCGCTCTCGAAATGGTCGAAAAGGGAATCGTGCTCGATAACATCACCTACTCAACCATCATCACCTGCGCGAAAAGGTGCAATCTTTTCGATAAAGCGGTCGAGTGGTTCGAGAGGATGTACAAAACCGGGCTCATGCCCGATGAGGTCACTTACTCCGCCGTGTTGGACGTGTACGCGAAATTGGGTAAAGTCGAAGAAGTGATGAGTTTGTACGAGAGAGGGCGAGCGAGCGGGTGGAAGCCCGATTCGATTGCGTTCGCGGTTTTAGCTAAGATGTTCGGCGAAGCGGGTGATTACGATGGCATTCGGTATGTTCTTCAAGAAATGAAAACGCTCGGGCTGCAGCCGAATTTGGTCGTGTACAACACGTTGTTGGAGGCGATGGGTAAAGCCGGGAAGCCGGGTTTAGCGAGGAGCTTATTCGAGGAGATGGTGGATTCGGGTATCGTACCGAATGAAAAGACGTTAACGGCCCTGGTTAAAATCTACGGGCGGGCTAGGTGGGCCCGTGACGCGTTGGAGCTTTGGGAGAGAATGAGGCTGAAAGGGTGGCCGGTGGATTTCATATTGTACAACACTTTGTTGAGCATGTGTGCCGATCTTGGATTGGTCGACGAGGCCGAGAGGCTTTTCGACGACATGAAAGCGTCGGAAAAGCACAAGCCCGACAGCTGGAGCTATACGGCCATGCTTAATATATACGGAAGTGGGGGTAGTGTTGACAAGGCTATGGATTTGTTTAAAGAAATGTCGGAAAAGGGCGTCGGGCTTAACGTAATGGGGTGCACTTGTTTGATTCAGTGTTTGGGGAGAGCCAAAAAGATCGATGATTTAGTGAGGGTATTCCAAACCGCCACGTCAGCTGGCGTGAAAACGGACGATAGGTTGTGCGGGTGTTTGCTCTCGGTTGTGTCGTACTGCAAGGGCGAAGATTCGGACAAGGTACTAGGTTGTCTGGAGTTGGCGAAACCGGAGCTCGTCGAATTCGTGAAGCTTCTGTCGGGCGAAGAGAGTAACAACTTCGACTTTGTCAAAGAAGAGTTCAAGCGGATACTAAGCAACACAGCTGTCGAAGCAAGAAGGCCGTTTTGCAACTGCCTGATCGATATATGCCGAAACAGAAACTGCCACGAGAGAGCACACGAGCTATTGTACTTGGGTACGATATACGGATTGTATCCAGGTTTGCACACGAAGACCGAAGAAGAGTGGCGGTTAAACGTGAGGTCCTTATCGGTGGGTGCAGCTCAAACGGCTTTGGAAGAGTGGATGGGAACTTTGGCGAAGATTGTGCAGAGGAAGGAGAATTTGCCCGCGTTGTTTTCGGCAAATACCGGAGCCGGAACCCACAAGTTTTCGCAGGGTTTGGGGGGCGCGTTTGCGAGCCATGTGGAGAAACTTGCGGCCCCGTTTAGGGAGAGTGAGGAGAAAGCCGGGTTTTTTATTGCTACACGAGAGGATTTGGTTTCGTGGGTGCAATCTAAGGCGGCTTCTTCTTCGTCGTCTTCTTCGGCTGTGAGTGCAGTTTGAAGGGAAAAACGAAAGAGAAAAACGAACTAACTGTAGTTACGGTTACGGAGGCGCGAATGTGCGGCCTTTTCAAGAAAACGTTTTTGTATGTGTAGTTTGTAGCTTGAGAGATTTGCTAAAGTTTTCGTTTGGAAGGGCAAAATTGGTATTTGAATGTTCTTCGAGGCTACATTAGGTGAATGTTCTTCGAGGCTACATTAGGTGAATAACTTGTTCTCCAATATTTTGTTTTGGCTTTCGGTTTTAGTTTCACTAGTTTCGATTGTCGTAGAAATATGTTTAAAAAATCCTTACTCATACATTAATTCAGGGTATTTGTTGGTGATAGGGAAACGAGCGAGAGAGCGAGGCCGAACAAGAAAAACGAGTGCCGAAAGACGGAATCGAATAAGAGAGGTTCTTACACACACCACACCTATTTGTGAATTGTGAGTATTTTGAGACAATTTGGCTAAATTTTCTATCAATTACTTCTTTCTACACTACACTATGATGCTATTTATTTTCTTTTATTTGATTCTGATATTAATATACAAGTAATTTAGTTTATATTAGTATTTGTTAGTTGGTGAGTTTTCTAATTCATAAAATAGAATAATACTAGCAAATAAAAAAAAAAAAAAAAATTATTACATCAGTCACACTGACCAAAATCAAGAAATGTGTGCTGTTACATTTGAAAATGATCCACTCAGAAGAAAAAAACGAACGAAAAAAATAAACACATTATCGATGACTGAATTATTAAAAATATACGAACTTTAACACGTAAGGAATATAAAAAATACAATCGTAGAATCGACAAAAACAAACCGAATCGGAGCATTTTTGCGTCGTAGAATTCGTGTGGAATTGAGCTCTCAAGGCTTGGATTGATAACCCCATGGATTCTGGCTTGCCCACTTCCATTGGTCCCTGCACATTTCTTCTATACCGTATTTTGCCCTGAAACCCGACGTCGGATTTCTAAATTAATTAATGCTGTCGAGTTTTTTTTTTTTTTTTTTTTTTGGGATTCAGAAGAAAGTGAATAATATTTGGTTCATGAAGATAGAAATAACTTACTTCCAACCGAGTTCTTTCCCAGCTTTCTCTATCGATGCATAAACAGCTGTTGCATCACCCGGCCTTCTCGGACACAGTTTAATCGGGATTTTCTGTACGATAAAAAAAAAATAGTAACGTTTTTTCGGTAGAGAGAGAAAGATAGAGAAGGAAAAAAGAGAGTTCTCTCACCTTGCCTGATGCCTTTTCGAAAGCAGCTACCATTTCTAGGACAGACGTGCCTCGACCCGTTCCCAAATTGTAGGACACGAAACCTTAAACGAAAAAAAAGAAAGAAAAAAAAATTGTCCGATGAATTAGTATGCATCTGAAAATTAGTGAAATTAAAAGATGGATTGAGATGTACTTACCTATGTCCTTGCATTCTAGAAGCTTCTCCAACGCAGCTACGTGGCCATCTGCTAAATCCATAACATGGATGTAATCTCGTATCTGTTAATAATAAGAAACCGGATTTTGTCAAATTATTAACTGCAAATAAAAAAAAACACTATTACTTCAAAGTTCAAAGGGTATCTAGTTTGGCAAGCTTAGATACAAAATCAGTTCCGAAGGCCTCGTTTGGCTCCTAAGATAAAATTAGTCAATATAAGATTAAATAACTTATAAAAGCCCGATTGTATTGTTCAACCAAGGAGGTCTAATAAATTATCTCTCAATTAGTCAAGATTAGAACCCTTTTCTTCCACAATTGTAGGGCTTGCCCGGAAATTATTGCACATTATTTAAGTAATGATCATGACTAATCTTATCAACCAAACGATGCCTTAAGGCTATGTTTGCTCTGAAACAAGCAAACGTTACTTTGTTTATCGAATTCGGAAACAAAATGAAATTTGCGAAATCCCATTCCACAACCTAACCTAGAAAAAAGTATACTAACTATATAACAAGAAAAAATAATCGGAACGAGATTGACATACCGCGCTACCATCGAGTGTAGGATAATCATGGCCGTAAACATTTAACTCGGGTAGTCTACCAACAGCCACTTGTGTTATATAAGGCATTAGATTGTTCGGGATTCCTTTCGGATCTTCTCCGATCACACCGCTCTCGTGGGCCCCCACCGGATTGAAATACCTCAGCATAATCATTCTCCATTCCGGGTCGGCTATTTGAATATCTCGAGCGATTTCTTCTAGAAACAACTAATTATTACACAACCAAAAGAAAATTGTTATAAATCAACATTGAATCAAGAAAGCCAGATTTTCAAAGTATATATTCCTCGGTTCCATAACATCTGTCACTCACTGACTCACTATACAATTCCAATCACTATACAATTCCAATACTGCATTAGTTACAATATTTTTCAATTATACCCTTATTATTAACTCTTCAGTATTACCCCTGCATTAATTAGTAAATAAGAGTATTTTTGTATAAAAATATCTATATTCCGAAAATAAAGACACATTTATTAACATTCTCGAGACTTGTGCAAATGCAAAAAAACGACAGTTAATTAGGAACATAGGGAGTATTATAATACACACCTTTGTTCGACCATAAGGATTCATTGCCTTCAATTCCGAATCTTCTAGACACGGGATCTTCTCGGGTTGACCGTAAACTGTGGCCGATGAGGAGAAAACCAACTACAAATAATAACAATCATATTATTACTTGAAAAAATTAAAATTTTCATATTGTTTGTATATATGTAAGGATACAATGTTGGTGACACACCTTCTTACAATTATATTTCGCCATTATTTTGTATAAATTGATCGATCCGACTAAATTGTTGTCGAAATATCTCATGGGATGAGCAACACTTTCTCCTACAGCTTTCAGTCCAGCAAAATGGATCACTGCATCAAACCTATTAAAAATAATAATCAATCAAATTAATTAATTATATATATATATATATATATATATATAATAATTTCCCAAATTTTAATTACTTGGTCTGAGAAAATAATTTCTCCAAATCCTCCAAATTTCTAATATCCCCCTGCAACAAATTGAAAAATTCAGAACCAAATTTTCCGGCGAAAATCGTAAATTATTCTGTGTGTGTGTGTACACATTATACGTACATATATACATACCAAATGGAAATGAAGATTCTGGGAGAGATGGTCGCCGACGAGCTGGCGGAGGCGGTGAACAGATTCCTCAACTGAATTATCAAGGTTGTCTAAAATAAAAACCTGAAAACCTTGTTTCAGTAGCTGCACCGCCGTGTGTGTGCCGATGAAACCGGCGCCGCCGGTAACCAGTATCCTCCCTTTCTCTGCAGTGATTCCCATGCTGTAATTGCTGTTTCAATCAACACAAGGATGATCGATTATATATCACTACTGATGGATTTATAGAGACTATTTATTATTTAATTGATTTTTTTGGGAATATTTTATTATAGTGTGATTTAATTTACTGATAAGTTTTTGTGGGCGTGTGTGTGTGTTGATGATGAGTCAGTGTACTGAGTAAATGAAGAGAGAGAAAGAGGAGAGAGAGAGAGTGTGAGAGAGGGTTGAGCAAATCAAGGAAAGTCTATTGAGATAGCAGTGGAAACAGAGTAACAAACTGGAATGAAAAAGATGTGAATTATAATTCGGTTGTGGTACAATTATTTTTTGTGATTTACACTTTTACTACTCAAATTTATTGTTTTCTTCCATTATGTACCAATTTGATCATATATTCTCGGTAAACCACGGCCACTCTTGAGATAAGGTTAAATTACAAAAAAAAAAAACCTTTTTGTTTGAGTAACTACAATCTCTTTAACTATGAATCTTTTTACAAGTCCACTTTTAAGGTGACAAATTCATCATAACAGTATAGATTTCGTGGAGTGTTCTCTAGTTTGTACTCGTTTTGTGCAAAAATATAGTTTTTGTGCACCACAATCAAATATTTACAGGTAAATAAACATATTTTATGATCATCTTGTTTCAAGATATGGAGCGCGAATGCGATAAAATAAGTACAAATTAAAGAACATTCCACATAATTCAGAAAATTCCACTAAATTTGATACTGTGAAAATGAACGTTTAAGAAGATTCGTAGTTAATGGGGTGATTGTAATTATCCAACATAAATTTCGTTTTTATACTCCTTGTATTATAGATGGGCGTAATTTATCCTTAGATTCTGTAATATTAAGAATTCTGTAAATATTTAATGCTAATCGGAAGTGAAAATCGATAAATGGGATAGGATCATATGTTTAGTATCTAGAAATAATATTTTTACAAGTAAAAAATATCTGAATTTCATCTGCAATTCTGAAATTGGAAACAAATAAATAATTACTTAATAATAATAATAATAATAATAATAATAATAATAATAATAATAATAATAATAATAATAATAATAATAATAATAATAATAATAATAAATAAATAAATAAATAAATCGCAGTGACATAGTACCATATTTGATGTAGAGTTTGGTACATATTTACTAATTAATAAATGTGGAGTAATGATTAGGTAATATGGGATGGCAAAATCATTAGGAATGGGAGACACGCGCAAGCAGAGGTCATTGGAATTTGGAATTTGTCAGACCGTTACATTATATGATGTCGATAATATTTTTTGTACTAATATTTTATCCCTTCTTCTTTTATTTTGGGTGTCGGGCTAAGGGATGGGGGCCCTGGGGCGAGGGATTTCGCCTTTTTGGTGCAATATATATATATATATATATATATATATATATATATATATATATATATATATATATATATATATATATATATATATATATATATATATATATATATATATATATATATATATATATATATATATATATATATATATATATATATATATATATATTTTGAACTCAATTTTCCAGCAATTATAACCGAAATGTCAAAACATGTGCTTTGCGTATATTCGTCCCTTCACTTGCATTCTATACACTAAATATAAATATAATTCATATATATGTATGAATAATATATATTGTTCATTATACATAAATAAAATTCGTATAAATTACGGTTGCTCCATGATATAAGGTCAAATTTAGTGAATCTTCTAGATTATGTAGAATATTCTCTAGCTTGTACCCGTTTTTATTCTATTTGAGCTCCACGTTTTGGAATAAGATGATCATAAGATGTGTCTCTTGCATTGTAAATATCAGATTGATGGGGCTTTAGAAACAGCATTTTTGTACAACACGAGTACAAACCAGAGAACATTCCACGAAATCTAGAAAAATATATTGAATTTGACACTATAATGATGGACGTGTAAGAAGATTTATAGTTGACGAGTGGTTGTAATTACACCGAAAAATAATCATTTTACTCTTCGACTTTACGCCAAAGTCTCATAATTATTGCTTGATAAAATTAAAAGTTCTTCCTTAAGCTCCTGAACAATAATCATTAATTAATTAAGATAGTGACCTTTTGCAAATCTGGAAAAGAAACAATAATCAATATAATATCCTATTTTTAACCCAATTAGGAATGTACATAAAATGCGAAAAGAAAAAAAAAATAATTAAAGTACATGAAAATTATATTTTCTCACACATTTTTCTTTACAAACTTCACTAAGTACATAAACAATATAGCTAACTGGTGGAGCGAGAGAGTGTGATGTCAAATGCCTTAATTTCGAATCCTTTTGTCAGAAACTTAGTTCTGAAATGATAAGTTGGTGCAAAATCCTAGAATCGACTATTGACAGTTGCATTATGGAAATTTCAACTCCAGTGTGGATTAGTTCCTTATGAACATCATATGCAGGTCCACTACCATAACGGGACGTTAAGCCATTGTGATTTACATTTTTCCATCAAATACTTATTGGATTAGGGAAGGGGGTTCTGGTGGCGAAAAGCTTTTGGTGCGAGTAATTGCAAAATCAATTAAAATTAATATATATATATATATATATATATATATATATATATATATATATATATATATATATATATATATATATATATATATATATATATATATATATATATATATACATATATATATATATATATATATATATATAAATATATATGTATCTATATATATATATATAT